GCTTCGGTCCATGTGAACCCGCCTTTTTTAGTCATTGCTGTCAACGGTTTGGCGATTGTTCCATAATCCTTTACAAACTTGCGGGAGTACCCTGTAAGCCCCAAAAACCCTCTCAACTGTGTGAGACTAGTTGGCTTAGGCCAGTCGACCATAGCCTCAATCTTTCGTGGATCGACCTTCACACCGTCATGTGATATGAAATGTCCAAGATATTCAACCATCTCCTGCCCGAATGAACACTTAGACGGTTTGATGTGGAATGAGTTGGCCTACAGAATTTCGAGAACTATCCTTAGATGCCCAAGATGCTCGTCCCATGACTTTGAATAGATCAAGATATCGTCAAAGAATACCAGAACGAACTTACGCAGGTAATTCTTGAAAATAGAGTTCATGGCGAACTGGAAAGTGGATGGGGCATTGCACAAGCCGAATGGCTTAACCAGATACTCATAGTGCCCTTGGTGTGTACGAAAGGCTGTCTTTGGGATGTCAGCTTTGTGAAGTCGAATCTGATGGTAGCCAGCTCTTAGATCGAGCTTAGAGAAATAACGTGATCCGGCTAACTCATCAAGCATATCGTCGACACTAGGGATGGGAAATCTGTCCTTAATGGTCGCAGCGTTTAGAGCTCGGTAGTCAGTACAGAATCTCCACGTACCGTCTTTCTTTTTAGCCAACAGAACTAGAGAAGAGAACGGACTCTTGCTATGCTGTATGAGACCTGATTCCAGCATCTCGGCCACTTGCCGTTCGATCTCGGTTTTCTGAAAGTGAGCGTACCTATAAGGGTGGACATGTATGGCATGCTGTTCATTGACCAATGGTATGCGATGGTCGAACTCTCGGTGCGGCGGTAGTCCTTTGGGCTCGCCCAGGACTCCTTCAAATTCTTCTAGAAGCTCACGCACATCTCCCTGTTGTTGTGTGTCTTTGCTCGAGTGCGCTCCCACATCTTCGACTACTACGGCAAAGATTTGGCCTCCATCACGTCAAACTTTCTCGATGCTCTTCAACCCTACTTCCTTAGCTTCTTTTTCAGTGCTGGTGCTGAGGGTGACCTGACGACCCTCGGAGTTGAATTCCATAATTCCCGTCCGATAGTCGGTCGTTACCTTGCCCAGTCCGTCGAGCCATTGGACGCCCAGCACTACATCTGGTCCAACCAGGGGTAAGGCGTATAGATCAGCCTTCACCGTAACCCCGCTAAACCTGATTGGCACCTTCCGGAAGGACTTAGTGCATTGTAGCCTCTCCCCGTTGGCTACCCGTACCTCAAAGGGTTCAATATTCATAGTTGGCAAGTTCAGTTTCTTAGACAACTCGGCGTTGATGAAATTGTGGGATGACCCGTTGTCTACTAGCACCATCACCCTTCGATCCTTGACCCAAGCTGGTAGGCGCATAGTCCGAGGACCTCGTATCCCGGCCATAGCGTGCATCGAGATTTCAGGCTCATCTTTGAAGTCCTCAGTCTCGTCGTCTTGAGGCGATTCCTCCTCGACCTCAACCTCCTTCTCATCCGGGTTGGCCACTTCTATGACAAAGGCTTGCTTGCACTGATGCCCCGGGGTAAA